CCCGACAGATGTATGAGAAATTTTGTTGGAATCGGTTCAGATTTATATCTAAATATGCTATATATAGTTTCGTACGATTTTATGTAAATGGAGCAACATACTGCCAATATTTATCCGATTGAGACAAAATTTTGCACCGCGTACTAAATTAGGTCATTGATGAATGCGAAGTTTTGTTGAAATCGGTTCAGATTTAGATATAGCTCCCATATATAGTTTCGTCCGATTTAAGGTAAATTGTGCACCAAACTCCCAATATTGGTCCGATTGAAGCCAAATTTTGCACAGAGTACTGAACAATATCCCCACGTTATGTCTACAGACGCGTCATTTGCTTGTATACGAGGGTTACTAAATATATTTCGGGGCTGATCAGCCATCTGCCTAAATACGACTCATATTGCTAGCTGTGGCGACGCTTGAGCAACATAGGATGGTAAATTCTGAATGATATGCCACAATTTCTTTGCCTTGAAGTCTGCGGAGTAATTCTAAAAACGATCGTCATCACAATGCGAGCTCTCACATATCAGTTGAGACTATCGCTTTTTGTCCGGCCAAACATGAAATTGATAGGCCCAGGGATGCACGGCCCATCCTTATATGGTTTCTATTCTACAAAAGTATGAAATTCTAAGAAATTTCAGACCTATCTATCGTTCGGTACATCTGTTGTACCGTTGCTAAATGGTCAGGTTCGAAAATTAGCTATATCGGTCCGCATTTATAATGAAACCTCCATATTTTAGGCATTTTTAATTGTAGTGTCATTTCAAATATTCCCATCAGATTCGGTTTTGAGATTTTAGGAATAATGTATATTAAAATTTACTGAAATATAGTATTTGTATTCACGTTCCACCCTAATATACATTTGTTACTAATTTCCTTGTGCTGTAATAAAATTTAGCAAATATTGAAGTGTTTGTTTTGATTTGTTTGTATTTTTTATTTTTATAATAAAATTTACACTTTACTCATCATCGACAGCAACATATTCACTGTTTGTTGCGGCTGGGTTGGATCTCTAACCCGACTAATATTGCTGTTGTGCGGCTGTGAATTACAAAAGCAAATGTCGGGCACAGGCCCAATTAATACGTCACATACGAGCGTTTTTTTCGCTGTCAACTTTTTTTGCTGTTGTTTTTTTTATTTGGCATTGCGGCAGGTGGTTGTGGGCCACACGGTTAACTACTGCAACGTCACTCAGCAAAAAAGAAAATAAAAACACGATCGTCTAGTAGAAATGAGTCTAGTCGTGAGGTTAGGTGAGTAAAATCACTGCATAGTGTCTATTGTCGTTAGAGACAGAGTGAGAGCGACTAAGTCGGTGGCTATCGAATGTGTGATGTTGTTGTTGTCGCCAGGGGGACTGACAGCAGCGATAGAGCATTTATTGTGTTTTCAGAGATGGATATCTTTTTTTTTGCTATGGTGTCCCATTAATGTCGTTGGCTACGACGACGTAGACGGCGGATTTTTTTTTTGCGCTTTTGGTTGCGTCTACAGCGTTTTTTTTTCAAATTGGATATTTCGAATATCTCAATCAGTTTATGAGTGTTCACGTCGCAAATAACACACAAAATTCGCGCGGTGATCGGCACGTAATTGCACGCGCTTCCCTATCGCATTAATTAAAATCGTAAAAAAGCAACAAAAACAAAATATTATTAATGTTAAACGAAAAAAATCATAATGCGTTTGAAATTGATTTGCGAATCGAATGAATAACGACAACAACAAGAAATTTTGCAAACAAAATATATTTAACAACAAAATTATTTGTGTAATAAAAAATATGTATGACAAGCAAATCATGCAGTAATAACAACAACATCAGCACCAATACAATATCTAATATTTAAAATCGACACTATGATAAATTAAATAAAATGCCAAAAATTGTTTGTGAAAAAATTTCAATAATTTTTTTATGCAAAAAAGAAAAAAAACACTACGCTAAATGACATTTTGATATTTCGATGATGAATTAAGAAATATTTGTCAGCAGTCTAAAATAAATGTATTAAGCTTGAAATACCACAATGAGTGATCATAACCAAAAGTCCCATCATAGGAAGCCACAATTTATAATCGTTGTCGTTTTGGATTAAAATAATTCAAATAACCACAAAATAAATTTATGTCAGAAAAAATATACTGGAGTCTGAATGTATCGGTTTAAAAAAGGGGAAAAGCTCGTCAGCACTCTAAAATATATTTTTTTTTTTTTGTTTTTCTTGAAATACCACAATGAGTGATCGTGACCAAAATAAGGGTAAGGCAATTTGCCGAAGATCGGTCACACGAAAAAAGTGTTCTATGAAGGATATTCTGTCTCCATAAAAGAAAGTCTATATAAGAATTCCAGTGGAATTTTGAAAAACCACATCTAAGGAAGTATGGACTTCTCCAACATACAATTGCCTTTTTGTAACCAGGACTTCAAAGGCTTCTAATTGTCTTAGGGAAAAAAATCACTATAAATGCATCAGCGGAATGGGATTTCCGCATGAAAACAAATACATCGACCTATTGAGGACTATATAAATTTTCGCTTTAAGTGATCGAAATTACTTCCTCTTTACGAAATTTTAATACAGTTCAATGTTTTTGGTACAAGTATTATGTATTTGTGCATATGTTTGTAACAGGCAAAAGGAAACGACACATGGTTCCTTTTGAAAATATTCATAGAATCATTTTCTAAGTCGATGTATGCTTATCCGTCTGTCTGTTGATGTTTATGATGTAAAGAAAATACAAGTCCCTTTTCTAATCCGATTTTAATGAAATTCGGTTCAGCTCATTTATTTGGTCCAAGAACGAACCCTATTGAAATGAATGAAAATCGGTTAAGATTTAGCTATAGCTTCCACTTATATTTTCGTCCGATTTTTTTTTGTAAATGGTGCACCAATGTCCCTATATATATCCTTCGATTTGCACGAAATTTGACATAGCGTAATGAATTGAGTCTATAGTGATGTGTGGCAAGTTTCGGGAAAATCTGTTCAGATGTAGATATAGCTCGCATATATATTTTCGTCCGTTTTAATGTAAATGGGGCACCAAAGTCCCTACATATCTTTCGATTTTAACGAAATTCCGCATAGCATACTGAATTTATTCTAGAATGATGTGTGTAAAGTTTCCTGAAAATCTGTTCAGATGTATATATATATATATATATATATATATTTCCCATATATATTTTCGTCCGATTTAATGTAAATGGTATAATAAAGTCCCTATATAGCTTTCGATTTGCACGAAATTTGGCATATTATACTGAATAGAGTCTGGAATGATGTGTGTAAAGTTTCGTGAACATCGATTCAGATTTAGATATATCTTCCATATATATTTTCGCCCGACGTCTGTTAGGATACATATCTAGAATATATATGAAGGGTATCATATAGTCGGTCCAGTCCGACTTACTGGCTTTTTTTGATGTACGGGAATAAACAGAAGTTATTGGGTACAAAGTCAGGGATATGCGGATGACCCATCAATTCTACGTTTTGGCCGGTAAATTGGCCCGAGCCTTTTTTAGCGTTTGTCAAATTTTGTCAGTAATATATATATATATATATATCTATCGTATTAATATCATGCAGAATGGCTTAAACATTTGATATGCTTTATGTCGATTGCTCGATCGTGCTGACTAAATTTGAAAAAAGACTTTGTATTCTTCTTCAAGGAGTTTAACTCAATCATTTTCAATCATATCTACTTTTTTGAACTGCTGACACTTTGGATTCACCCCATCTTATTTACAAATTGCATGTTTGCTTCGTATGCTCTTAGTTTGCGATCTATATGAAATCCATTACTGTAATTACGTTGTACCGACATATTAACACAATTTGTTTTTGCTGAATTTGTGTCAAAAAAAAAAAAAAAAAAAAACATTAAAAAGTATATGATGAAATATACTTAATAGTGTATATCATGAGTGTAATAATAACAACAACAAAAAATATAAAGTGAAATTTCTTTAAAACACTACCCCAGGCAAAACAAAGAAAATAAATAATACAAGTAATAAGGAAGAAGAAAAATAGTCAAAGAAATGCAATCAATTTCAAAAAATATTTGTGTAAACAAAATAAAATTTTGTCTAAAAATTGTCTGTCCGCAGGCATTAAGAATAAAAACAACAACGACAACACGAAAATAAACATAACAGTCAAACTGTGATTATGACAAATGTCTAATATACAACAAAAACAACAACATTAAAAGCCCATTTAAACATTTACCAAAAACAACAACAGCGTACGATGACAGCAAGAAAGTCCCAGCAATAATCCCCCCTATTCGATATTTAAACATCAACAAACCTTGAAAGAGGAATTGTTTACTATTCGGTTTTATTTAGTGGTGTGTTGTCGTTGTTGTTGTTCTTGCGATTGTAAAAGAAAACAAATATTATTTTGCAAAACAAAAAATTGCGTGTTTTTATGTTTTCTTTTTTTGAAGAGCGTTAACCAATAAAAAAACAACCAAAATGACCCAAGAAATGTTGAAAAGAAATGCATGAACTAGCAAGACAATGATTTTGAAAGGAGAGCAGGGGTGTACTCGTAACGCCACCAACAACAACAACCACCATATTACCATTAACATCCCACTCACACACACACACTCAACAACTATTTTAGTTAATTGGCCGACCTTTTGTTATTTTTAATTTAAATTTATTTGCAAAAAAACTACAACAATTAGTACAAAAAAGACGAAGACAAATAAATAAAAAAATAAAACCAAATTAAACTAAACATTTAAATACACACGCCCACACCTACGCACATGAAGTGCGTAAACAATTTTCTAGGATGTGATTTGCTAGTCTTCCTGTGATATATCAATTATTTTTTATTTTGAAAACTTTTCTGTGATCTTAAGTTGTGAATTTGTATAACAAACAAAAAAAAACTGTTTCCTGCTGTGTTAATTGACAACGTCCAACATGAAATTCTTTCTAGGCCTCGCCAATTGGACATCGGACAGTCGTGACAAATACGATGGCAATCAAACCGATAAGGTAAGTTCAAATTAGTTTTCACATTTTTTTTATATTATTTAAAACCCGTAAGAAAAGCTCAAAAATCGGACGGGGCCGACATAGACATTTGAAGCAATTAAAAAAGCATACCCATACCATTGTTATATCTATGAAATTAAAATCAGGACCAAATGCAGGACAAAGCGCTGTCCACAGTTTCATTTCCATAGGAGAAACCTTTATTATTATTTGCTTCACAATTGCATGAACTCAAAACATGATACGTTGTGTAGGAATTCATCACAATCGAAAAAAATGACTTTAGTTATTTAGTACACCATTTGGATGAAATCGGATGGAAGTATATATGGAAGCTATATCTAAATCTGAACCAATTTTAGCAAAACTTCGCATACATAAAACAGAACTTCATTCCGTACGCTGTGCATAATTGTGTCCCAATCGGACAAACCTTGGGAGTTTGGTGTACCATTTATCTAAAATCGGACGAGAGTATATATGGGAACTATATCTGTATCTGATCTGATTTCAATGAAACTTAACGCTCTCTATCCTAGTCTTAATTTCATACGTTATGCCAAATTTCGTCTAAATCGGACAAAAATTGGGAGTTTGGTGCATCATTTAGATAAAATCGGATGAAGCTATATATGGGAGCTATATCTAAATCTGAACCAACTTTAACAAAACTTTACATACATTAAAGAGGACCTAATTCAGTACGTTGTGCACAATTTTGTCTGAATCAAAAAAATATTGGGAGTTTGGTGTACCATTTAGATAAAATCTGACGAAAATATATATGGGAGCTATATCTAAATCTGAAACGGTGTTTCAGGACTTTTATAAAATCGTCACATGTGACAAATCATGAATATATTCATATGAGTCCGAAACAAAAATAGTATTTGACCGTGTGGGTCTTCGAAGACGAACCGAATTGGAAGAAACGCATCGAAACAAATGATCCTCGTTTCTATTTCGAACCGGTGGCGACAATCCACTTGTACAATGTAGGACTGTCAATTCGGAGTGGTTCACCACAATTTGCCGATGAAATTAAAAAAAAAAACAACAGTAAAGTCGGACAGGGCCGACTATATGATACCCTTCACTACTTCGGATATATTCACCAGATGTATCCTAACAGACGTCGCATTTTTACAGAACCATTAACATGAAATTGGATGAATTAAAATATGGAGGTGAACCATTTACATTAAATCGGTCGAACATATATATGGGAGCTATATCTAAATCTCAATCGATTTTCACGAAACTTAGCGCACATCTAATTCATTACGCTATGCCAAAATTCGTGGAAATCGAAAAATATATAGAAACTTTGGTAAACCATAGACATTAAATCGGTCGAACATATATATGGGAGTTATATCTAAACCTGAACCGATTTTCCCAATTTCAATAGGGTTCGTCCTTGGGCCGAATTAATGACCCATACCAAATTTCATCCAATTCGGATCATAAATGCGACATATACATTGTTTGCAATTTAACATGGACAGACAGACGGACATGCATAAATTGACTTAGAAAGTGATTCTATGTATATTCTCAAATGGAACCATGTGTCTATCTCGTTTCTTTTTGCCTGTCACAAACATATGCACAAAGACATAATACCCTGTACCGCAGTGTGGTGAAGGGTATAAAAATTGTGTTCCAATCGGCCAAATTTTGGGTCTTTAGTGCACAATTTACCGATTTTACATTAAATCAGTCGAACATATATATTAGAGCTATATCTAAATCTGAACCGATTTTCACGAAAACTTAACACACATCATTCTGGACCTAATTCTGTACGCTATGCCAAATTTCGTGCAAATCTAAAGATATGTAGGTGCTGTGGTGCCCCATACGGACGATACTATATATGGAAGCTATATTGCAATCTGAACCGATTTTCTTCAATCTCAATAGAGTTCGTCCTTATGCCAAATAAGTGACCTGTGCCAAATTTCATCCTAATCGGATCATAAATGCGACGGACGGACGCGCATAAATCGACTCAGAAAGTGATTCTATGCGTATTCTCAAAAGGAACCCTGTGTCTATCTCGTTTCCTTTTGCCTGTTACAAACATATGTACAAAGACATAATACCCTGGGTGGTGAAGGGTATAAAAATCTACCTAAGAACAAAAATATATAATAGTAGCCATTCGAATCGATTTGCGTTTTAAAACTTCTGTTTAGCGAAATTATTTGTTTCCATTCCATATTGATTTACGCTTTTGAGTATTTGAGATGTTAAGATATAATAATGAATCAGATGTGTACAATGTTGAGAGTACCCAAAGCTTAACTATTAGTGCCATGTTTCACAGTGGGTACTCACATTTTCATATCAAACGTCGTACCCTTATTCGCCATATTATATTGTGTTCTTTGGTTCAAAAAACACAAAGAACTTGCATTTTTCAGATTAGTTTTTTTCGCCGTTTTAACCTGTACAATAGAGATCGCAATTTTTATGATAGAACTCTGAAATTTTGAACACACTTTGTCAGTACTCCTAGGATGTTTGATATGTTCCAAATTATATTTGCCCGTCCACCTCTGGGTGCAGCACCCATATAAGTTTTACTTCCATTTTCCTTCGAGGTACCTATTTTTCCTGGTTTTTGGAGACTGTGCTTGAACTTAGCATAAAATATTCAATATACGTCTATGTGTTTACATAGATACAAAAAGGCCCGCTTCGTTTTTGGAATGTTGAGGCTTCTAGTCTAGTATATATAATATCGTATTTAACAATCTCAAAGCATAAACGACCTCATTTACAGTGACAGGAATCTCAATTGGCTTTAGACATATGTTCGGATCGGTCAATTTTAATGACATTTTAACATGTTTTTAATAATTCATGTAACTAAAATCGCCTTTATATCTCCTGATACCCAGAAGTTTTTTTGTACATAGATTTTTTTACTCAGTGTATACTATAGGTTATCTTCTACTTTCTATTGTGCTTGAGGGTATAAATGTTGGTCACGCTCAGCCTAAATTATTTCATTAAAGTACATGTGTAGTAGTTTCAGATATCGTACTTCGACGTTATAACCACCTTCAAACTTGATTTACTTGTTTCAATTTTTTATTCTCTATAATATTTAAATTTAAAGACATAATTTTCTTAACTAATTACACAAATAATCATTTCCCTTTCTTCTCTTTCTTAACACACAGACACCAGCCGATTCATCGAAACTTAATCGTAAAGAATCATATAAGGCTCAACGTAAAAATTACCGACGCGAAAAGAAACGTGTTGCATCGGAGCTATTAAATTCTCTTCAGGATCCTGCTGTAATTGTCTTGGCAGATTGGCTTAAGGTAAGTACGATTATTATAGAAGAGATAGATTGCCCCCTACTCCTTCAGCCCACGAAAAACGATGTGTAATTTCCTCTAAAGAGGAAATTTCAAATATTTTCTATGTTCAATGCTGTAATTTATGAAGATGGTGGAGGAGAAGTAACACCATCACCACTCAAAATTGAATAGCGTGCGGCAGGCTAAACTCTGACAGTTGTATGGTTTATCATTATTAATAATGACAACCGCTGCTATTCTGTGTAATTTTTATTTTGTTTTTGTTCATCATTACATTTGAAATGTGGAGTGTTTTTATTTGTTATCTCAAAAATACGACAATTGTTCCCAAGTGAACGTTTTATTCGTGCTAAGAAAGAATGTTTAATTGTCGGTCGGTTGGGCTGGGCAAGTTATTAATTTAATTGGTTATTTTTCTTTTTCTATGGTATGAAAATTTTTGGTTATACAAATTCTAATAGGAAGATGTTGCCCAATCTTGTAGAATTGTAGACCTCTGTTTACAGAAAAATATCTTATCGCCATTGAGATATTGACCTATGATCTCTATATAATCTGAAGTTTGTAATTATATTTGTAAACCTAACAAATAATTATTTGTAGGTTACACATCTTTATTATCAGGAGTAAAATCCGATTGCAACAACAAGTTACGAAAACAGTACCATAATTCGGAGGAATAAATATTTTAACAATAATTTGTTTTTGCTCAATATCTTTCACATAGTGTTTCAGAAATAGTATGTATTTTCTTTAAAAGAAATGTTATTAAATAATCTATGCCAATACGGTCAGTACGGTTTGACGTACGGTCATATGGTAGTTTCAATTCAATCGTTTATTGGTACACGTTAGTTAATTCGGTCAGTCAACGGAATGATCCAGACGACCATTCCGTTCAATTTACGAACCAAGTTCCGATCGTTCCTTCTACGGAATAGTTCCTTTAAACTAGTTCATCATTTTCATTCATTGAGTTCCGCTCCACTTAGTTCAGTAATTCGTTGGTACACGCCAGAACATTCAGTCATTGAACGAGAAATTCCTGATGTACAATTGGATCAAAAATATATAAATTAACGAAGTAACTGAATCTGGTATCGATCGTTCCCTCTATGGCTTCTTTAAACTGGTTTATTCCTTTCGCTCCTTTCGCAAATGAACTAGGTAATTTACTTAGTTCCGCTTTGCAAAAGGAACTAGTCTATTCATTTAGTTCGTAGTTCTCTTCCATTGATTGGTATATGTCAGTTAATGGAAGATCCGCATGAACGATTGGATCGCTACAATCTACATGTACGAAAAAAGCGAACCAAATTCCGAGCGTTCCTTCTACGGAATAGTTCCTTTGAACTAGTTCATTCAGTTTCAAAAACAATAGGGGTCTTCATTGGCCAGAGCTCATCCTACATGCAAAATTTCGTGAAGATTGGTCCATAACTGTGGCCTGTATCGTGTTTACAAATTATAATGGACCGACGGACGGACACACATTTCTAGATCGACTAAGCTAGTCGAGATATGACCTTTAAGTAGGTGGGCCTAGGTGGGCCTATTCCTTCTACGGAATAGTTCCTTTGAACTAGTTCATTCAGTTTCAAAAACAATAGGGGTCTTCATTGGCCAGAGCCCATCCTACATGCAAAATTTCGTGAAGATTGGTCCATAACTGTGGCCTGTATCGTGTTTACAAATTATAATGGACCGACGGACGGACACACATTTCTAGATCGACTAAGCTAGTCGAGATATGACCTTTAAGTAGGTGGGCCTAGGACCAATATTTCGCGGCGTTACAAACTTTTGGGGCTGCACAAAGCTATAATACCCTGACAACATAGTTGTGTAGGGCATACAAATTTACGCTTAATTTGTTGTTGGAAAAAAAGATTTTTAAAAAAATCCACGCTTATAGCTGTGATATTTGTTGAAAAATATTCTTAAAAAAATCCACGCTTATAGCTGTGATATTTGTTGAAAAATATTCTTAAAAAAATCCACGCTTATAGCTGTGATATTTGTTGAAAAATATTCTTTAACAAATCCACGCTTATTGCTGCTATTTCTTGAAAAATATTTAAAAAAAATATATATTTCTTTCTATTGTGATATTTCATGGAATAAACGTTCTTTAAAAAATCCACGCTTATATTTGAAAATTAATCTTTAAAAAATCCATATTTATGTTGCGATAATTCTTGAAAAATATTCTTTAAAAAATCCATGCTTAAGTTGTGTTAATTCTTCAAAAATATACTTTAAACATCCACGCTTATAGCTGTGATATTTCTTAAAAAATATTCACGCTTATGGCTGTGATATTTGTTTGAAAAATACTCTTTAAAAGATCAACGCTTATAGCTGTGATAATTATTGAAAAAATATCCTTTAAAAAATCCACGTTTGTTGATGTGATATTTCTTGAAAAAAATATTCTTTAAAAACTCCGCGCTGAAAGCTGTGATATTTCTTAAGAAAATATCCTTTAAAAAAGGCACGCTTATTATCGTTGTGATATTTCTTAAAAAAATATTCTTTGTAAAATCCACTTTTTTAGTTATGATATTTGTTCAAAAATATTCATTAAAAAATCCACGCTTGTAGCTGTGACATTTTTTTAAAACAATCCAGGCTTATAGCTGTGATATTTCTTGAAAAAATCCAGGCTTATAGCTGTGATATTTCTTGAAAAAATCCACGCTTGCAGCTGTGATATTTCTTAAAAAATCCACGCTTATAGTTGTGATATTTCTTGAAAAAATATTCTTAAAAAAATTCGCGTTTATAGCTGTGGTATTTCTTGAAAAAATATTCTTAAAAAATCCTCGCTTGTATCTGTGATATTTCTTTAAAACATCCACGCTTATAGCTGTGATATTTCTTTAAAAATCCACATTTGCAGCTGTGATATTTCTTAAAAAATCCACGCTTATAGTTGTGATATTTCTTGAAAAAATATTCTTAAAAAAATTCGCGTTTATAGCTGTGATATTTCTTGAAAAAAATATTCTTTAAAAAAATCCACGCTTATAGCTGTGATATTTCCCGTAAAAATAATCTTTAAAAATGCCACGCTTATATCTTACATATTATTCTTTAAAAAATCACATATTCAAAAAAAAAAATCAAATCGTATGTTTCGAAAGTGTTAAAGATTTATTTCCTAAATGTTTTCTCCCACAATTTTTAGTTAATAATATACCATAGGTATTTGTTATTTTTGTTGTTTTTTCTTAACTTAATGTCAATATTCACAACTTGATTGATTCGTATCGATAGATATAGACTGTGATCATAATATTTTGTTTTTTTTTTTATTTATGTAGATCAGAAAAACAAAAACAATTTGATTTGTATAGAAAATATTTTCATTGTTGGATTGTCTCGATTGTCGAAACAATTCATTAACGCTTGCGATCAAATTGATTGACATTTCAATTCCACAAAAACGCCAACAACAAAAACAACCGAACGAGTGTGTACGATCACGAATATCTTCACACATGCGAATAGTTTATTTGTTCAATAAAATTTTGATATCGAGGTACGTTTTTTTAGAAGTTCATTGGCAGAATTTTAACGTAAATATGTATGTACACGCTAACAATGATATATAATTCAGTGATTTGTGGAAAAATCCCTACTTGATAAGAGGGAGCTTTCTTTATTGACAAAATTGTGACTCATTCCAAAAAGAAGTGAGTGATAATGTCCAAGGGGCACTTTTTTACATTCAGAATGGATACCCTTTATACAGTTCCATTTATTTAGGTTTTTTTTATTATTTGAGTATTATTTCTGGGTGTACAATATTCTGATATTGTTTTTGTTTAGAAAGCAATCAACAAGTGAACTAGGTGTTAAATATTTGCTACTTTAGACAATTTTGCACTCAAATTGTACCCGTTTAAATGAGATGTTTAGATAAGCGAAAATAATGTTTTAATTTTGGAACGAGTTGATAATTGACCAAATGCATTGTGATACGAATGAACAAATTCCTACAATTGTTTACTATATTTATTAGTTTATTTGCCAAGTGAATGTGAACTCTCGTCGTAATTGATGGAAATAATTATTCATATCGACATTTGCAAAACAAAAAGTTGATAATGATCATTAGTTATTTGTGCATAATTTCTGAATTTCCAAGAGTATTTTTTAAGAAATATATACATTTATACATAATGTATAAGCGTGGATTTTTTAAAGAATATGTTGAATAAATTGTAATTGTTTTAAATAATATTTTCTGGATTTTTATAAAAATATTTTTTTTTGTTTGATATCACTGCTGATTATTATTTAAAAGATATTTCTCTCGAGAAATATTACGTCGATTTTTAAAGAACTCTTACTTGCTTAGGTGGCTTGTGATAGAACATTTGTTCCATATGCCAAGCTTAAAACTGTTTTCCAGGCGCGTCGGTCTTCTGCGCAGCTCTTCCAATTTGAAAAACTATTTTCAAATTAATTCAAATTCAAATGTCTTCCACTTGATCTTTCTTAAAAAAATCGACGCTTATAGTTATGATATTCCTTGAAAAATATTCTTAAAAAAACACGCTTACAGATGTGATATTTGTTGAAAAATATTCTTTAAATATCCACGCTTATAGCTGTGATATTTCTTAAAAAATATTCTTTAAAAAATCCACGCTATAGCTGTAATATTTTTTGAAAATATGAAAAATATTCTTTAAAGAATCCACGCTTATAACTGTGATATTTCTTGAAAAATAACAATTCACGCTGTGATATTTCTCGAAAAATATGCCCCAAAAAATCCACACTTATAGCTGTGACATTTGTTGTAAATTATTCTTTAAAAAATCCACGCTTATAGCTGTGATATTTCTTGAAAAATATTCTTTAAGAAATCTACGCTATAGCTGTGATATTTCTTGAAAAAAAAATATTTTTAAAAAATCCACGCTTATAGCTGTGATGTTTCATGAAAAATACAAAATCCACGCTTATAACTGTGATATTTCTTGAAAAATATTCTTTAAAAAATCCACGCTTATAACTGTGATATTTGTTAAAAATCAATATCCTTTAAAAAAATCCACGCTTATAGCTGTGATATTTGTTGAAAAATACGCTCTAAAAAATCCACGTTTTTAGCTGTGATATTTGCTGAAAAATATTCTGTAAAAAATCAACGCTTATAGCTGTGATATTTCTTGAAAAATATGCTTTAAGAAATCTACGCTATAGCTGTGATATTTCTTGAAAAAAATATTTTTAAAAAAATCCACGCTTATAGCTGCGATATTGGTTGAAAAATATTCTCAAAAAATCCAAGTTTATAGCTGTGATATATTTTGAAAAATATTCTTTAAAAAATCCACTTACCTTGCTTGTGATAGAATATTTGTTCCATAAGCCGAGCTTAAAAAAAATATTTCCAGGCTCGTCCGTCTTGTGCGCAGCTCTTCCAATTTGAAAGACCATGGTCCGAGATGTGGTCTTTCACTTGATCATTCCATCGATTTCGTGGCCTTTCCCATTTTACGTGATCCATCAGTTGGCTCGCTGATCCATACAAGAGCACGAGTAGTATCAGCATCTTGTAGAGTTTGAGTTTTGTTTCGACGAGAGGTGGCCTTGTTCCTGAATTGCCTACTTAGACCATATTAGCATCTGTTTCCCTACCTTCTTCTCCTCCGAATTTCAAAACTCATGTCCTTAGTTTTATGTATGGCGGTACCAAGGTATATAAAATCGTTGACTGCCTCGAAGCTGTAGTTCTCAAGTTCCACAGTTGGTCCGGGTCTGCTAGACGTTTTGCGCGTTGATACCATCAGCTTGGTCTTATCGCCACACCCACTTTGGCAGACTCCTTCTCAATTTGTTCAAAGGTAGATGTTACCGTTCTCAATGTTCGACCCATTATATCGCAGTCATCGGCGTTGGCGAGTAACATATGCTGTTTGATGTACAGAGTGTAATTTCTGTTCACCTGTACCTCTCATATGACCTTTTCCAGCAGGATGTTAAAAAGATCACATGACAAACTGTCACATTGTCTGAATCCTCGTTCGGTATTAAAGTGCTACGAAAGGTCCTTTCCGATTCTAACTGCTGACCTTGTGTCAGTTAAAGTTATCCTGCATAGCCGTATTAATTTTGCAGGACGAACACAGACATGGTTTTAAACACTTCTGAACCTGATAGAGCTGTCCAATGCGCCTTTATAGTCGACGAATAGTTGGAATATTTCGATGTGTTTTTCGTGGGTCTTTTCCAGAATCTGGCGCAGAGTGAAAATCTAGCCAGGCCTGACCATTGATTTCAGGCATACACATGGAAAGTAGACTTATTCCTCTATAGTTGGTACATATCGTCTTGTCTCCCTTTTTTCGTGCACGGGACACAGGATGCTGAGGTTCCAATCATTGGGCATGCATTCCTCTAGCCAAATTGTACTATTCAGCTGATGTATGCTCCTGACCAGCATCTGACCACCGGTCATCGGCACCGGCTGCTTTATTGTTCTTCAGCCGATTGATTGCTATTCTTGTCTCATCTTGGCTAGGTGGTATACAATCTATACCATCATCTCTTATTAGTTCTAAGGTATCTTCTTCACCGTTACAATTTTATACCAGAAGCTTGCAATATGTTCCTTCTTCATCTGTACAGGAGGATGTGCCTGCAGCAAAACCTTCGGTTTGGTGTTTTACTCGTTGGTAAAATTTCCGGACTTCATTCTGACTCTTGTACATCTCGATCGATTTCTAAGTGGGTACCTTGGCGGTTAATCTACTTTTTCCCACAACATATTCAAGATAAGTCCATGTTTCTACATAACCCCAAAGGACATGCGTCTTGTTCGGTATGTTCAAGGCCCTACCTCAATTTTCTAAACAGAGTGTCTGAAGTTTGGAATTTTGTTTTATAGGGAGAGTTATAAAATACTCCCATATATATAGGATCTGAACGGTCTTAGATATTTTCAGTGTTCGAAGGTACGGAAATAGCGTCAGCCTTTAGGCCTTCCTGAATATTTAACATATTATGTTTAACACAATTATGTTTTTATTTATTTATTTCCCTACAGGTTCGAGGTACCCTAAAATCGTGGACAAAACTATGGTGTGTCCTAAAGCCGGGCTTATTGTTACTTTACAAAAGTCCAAAGGTGAAAAGTAGCCATTGGGTCGGTACAATACTGTTGACATCCTGTCAAGTCATTGAGAGGCCAAGCAAAAAAGATGGATTCTGTTTTAAACTCTTTCACCCCTTGGAACAATCGATTTGGGCACCAAGAGGACCCGACAAGGAGACCATTGGTAAGTTGTACAAAATTGCACAGGAAATAAAAGTCAATATTAATAAATATAAATTATTTTTTTCTGTTTACAGGAGCTGTGGTCCAACCCTTGCCAACAGCTTATCTCATCTTTAGAGCTCCCAGTCAGGCGGCGGGTAAATGTTGGATGGATGCCTTAGAATTGTCTCTGAGATGTTCCGGTTTACTACTACGTTCGAATTCTTCACCCGGACCCAATCAACAACCCGGTGCAATAGAGGCTTCAATTTCCCATGAAACTCAATGGTCTGAGGCCGATTATGAAAAGCATTTCAATGATCAAGGTAAGACGTTGTTGCCAAGCCGTTTAGTGTTTTTGCGTTCTTTGTTGCTGTTGTTCTTAGTTTGCAAATGTTATGTACGAAATTTTAAATAATTTATTTTTTTGAAATTCCACCAAAAAATACTCCCTTTCCCTTAAAAAAATATACTAAAAATACTAACACTTAACCCCAAGACAAAGACAAATTTCTCAAAATACAGCGTAAGTCACAACAACATCAACAACAATATCTCACAGTACCAACCACAACGGATGAAGGTGGTAGCACCGATACCAGCATCTATCATCCATCACGTTCACAAACACCCCTGTTGCAACAACTCTATCTAACCATGACCCATTGGGAACGTGTTGTGGCCGCAAATGCCCATCAATTGAAAAAGGCCAAACATCTACCAAAATTACGTCGTTCCAAGAACAATATCGATTTCAGTGATATCTCTAGCGTTGAAAATTCACCTAGAAAAACACCACATGATTCGTTGAAATTCTTAAAGAAACGGCATGGGACATTACTGAAATCGTCATCGTTGCGTTCGGTTCGAAAATCAACGAGCTCCAGCTCTTCCGATGAAGAGGATTTGAAAACGATAATATCGACGAGGCAATTAAGTTCGAATGGATCTGCATCGAGACCAGTTAGTGCACCACCGGGTACATTTTTTGACAAATAATTTGCCAAATGAAAATTTAAAAAAAAAATATGTTTGTCTGCTTGTTGATTCATTAGTAGAAAATGGCTAAAAATATTTGAAATCATATCGAATCATTATTCAGGTTCAAGGAATTAAGTTATGAAATGTCGTGGTTAAAAGGGATTTATTTGTATTTTTGGGAAACAAAGGTATTACCGTTGTATTGAAATATTGTATAAACGACTTATTAATATGTCCATAAGAACTAAAACAATCACTCTCAAGATTCCCATAGACATTGTTTTTTTTCAAGCTCAATGAAGTGGGCTAAATATTCCTGACTTTATATTTAGAGTAGGAACCCAAAAAAAAAAACTAATATAATTGCGTACATCTACAGCAAATGTAAATTCGGATCATTAATTGACATTTTGAAGTCAACGGATTTGGTCACTTCTAGAATCTCTCTGATCTCTTAAAAACAGTCTCCATTGAAAATGTTCACCTGCGGTCCCAGTTGAAGTGTTTTTTTTTACAAACAATTACTAAACTTTATTTCGCACTGTTTTTCTCGATGTTGCGTTCACATTTTTTCTTTTACTTCCCTTGATTGGCCGGATGTAGGTTGTCCTAGGTGATAGGCAACCATCTATCGTTGTGTAGTCCTACCTTATTCATCTGCGTGGCGCTATCTCCTGCTACTACTGGGAAACCCTAGAAACAATTTTATACATGTTTGAGCTCCTCGCTTAGTTAGTGTTGCCATTTTCTTCTGGGTGACATCATTCCTGCCAAGGTTGGCCTCCGTGAGCTTCGGATGCATTTCATCTTGAGGAAAATGTAAGCTACTTTTTACAAATATTCGAAAATCACTTTGAAGTAATTGTTCATCCTACGCAGGGATTCGAACCTAAAATCACATCGGTTTGGAATCTAGCACATTATCCACCGCACTACACTACATCTCACCAAACTGGTTGAGATTTCTTTCCAAATTGGGTGGGCTTATAGCATCTCAGTAGAATCATTGTTAGGTCATATTGACTAAAGGTTGTGGATGCCGTTTTAGCATTGCACTTTTTCAAGTTCGACTTCCTGGCATTTTTATAATGCTTCTGTTTTACTCCCTTTGTAAAAATCTGGAAGAATGTCATATAGTGATCCGAAAAGCTGTCTTTCTTTCGCATCCATTGTTTTAAGGTTGATGTCAATGACCTCTCCTCTTATACTATTTAGGAAAAGTGTTGTATTGCTCCTGTTGCACTTCCTACGATTATATTTTAATATAAATTTGAGTATGGACTTACATCTGGCAGACACGACTTGAGGAATAAGGCGACATAGGTTTTTGAGGAAAGTTTATTTGTACTAAGTTCATCGCTTGCAGCTGGTTTACGCTTGTTTCTTCGTCAGAACTACTGGTTGTGAAGCTACAGACCTTGATCCCTTTTTATAAGGTGGAAATCCTGCCTGAGTACCTATATCTTCTACACTAATTTCTGATTTCCGACTAACCGATTTACAACCATTCAACTTCGCTATACTCCTGTCTTAATCAGCTCGGTCAAGGATTGCATGCTTTAAGACCTCTGGGACCTGGCATCGTGACAGAAGATTTGGCTTTCGCCCTTGACGCAACCAAAGTATATGATGCAGTTTTTCGCAGCTGGTTGCTAATCGTCGGGGGACCGCATTATCTTTACATTTTCAGGATCTGAGAGAGTTTTGGTCCACAACATAAGATTCCTCTTTATATGAAAGTATTGTAGTCTGTTATTGTATTCGGATGCAGAACATTATCGATCTCCGGTAGAGCTTTTAGTCGGATGCCTCATTGGTATTGATACATTTGGTGGTTGATGAATCATTCATTGTTTCAATGGCAACATCATCGGCACCAAAATCAACCTCAATGGCCTCTCCGCCAATATCATTGTCCATTCCTGCCACCTTTAATGATTCTGTTTTAATTGGGGGAGTCACTTAAATTACCCTTGTGTTATCCATGGAGTCATCCTCGGCGAATAATCCCAGATGAAAGTTGGAATACTATCAGTAAAATTGTCCCTCTGTCTCTCAAGGCACACGTTGAATTCCTCAAGTGATTATTTAGGGGCGTCAATTCCTAGGATGTTATCCACTTGTTAATGTTCTTCCAGATTCCCCCTCCAAAACTCCCTAAAATTTGGTAATTTTTTGTGCCGTTCCGGAACAAACTATTTTAAAGGAGCTGTTCTCCAAATGGAACGGTCGGTACTAGGACCGATTTTTTAAATTCATTATGTCCCTTTGGACACTGTCTTTCCTTTTTTGCTCTCGTCCACATAGTACCAAACGTTCATCTATGAATGGCCTATTTCTTTTCGCAGAGCAACCAGATTTTTTTCGGGAACCAAATTGACCAACTCCAATAATTAACATCTTTGTTTTGACCATGTTTAAAATTATTACAACATGGAGACTTCGTATGAACGATAATTGCATTGGAAACCTTTTTTATCTTTTTAGGCCAGATTTGATCTTCAGATTTAAAATTTCTATTCAAAATATTGACTAAAACATCAATAATTTTCGTTGCCTTAACAAAATGAACATTAGTTTGAAGCTAACTGCGGTTTTAATGACGCCTACACGCATGCTGAAGAAAGTAAAATCTCATACTATTAATACTCCTTCAAAAATGACTCCTTCAGAACACCCCACTATCACACACATACATATATGTCTTTCCATATGTGTCGATTATTCTCATTTTGTTCGCCTAGTAGTTGAAATTGCCATAATGTCAACATAAAAAATTGCCATATTTACAGTTTATGTTATAAAAGTCGATTCTCGACTTTTTACTTATTTACCTCTAGATTTGGATGCCGATAGTCAAACCGAGGCACCAGCTGGCATTATGTCTGGCATTGACACCGATTCCGATTCGGATGGTAATGATAATGCTGTCGATAATCAATTGCAAGTCATTGATAATGAGGAGCCTGTTGAGACGCCATATATTCCGGCACCGGAAGAAGAAATCAATGCGGTAAGTCAAATGGAATTAAAATCGAAGTCTAACAGCGTATTCTTAATAACATTAGATTCGATTTAAATTAGAAGTTTGTGGAAAATCTTAGTTTGTAGGTGAAAGATAATGAAAGTAAAATCTGATATTTCTATCATCACTCTCACCACAACTACAGATGTACAAACAATAAATTTGCCTAGTGTAAATCGTGTCTTAGATAAATCGAATCTTTATTAACAATTTTTTGTTATTTTTTCAGACAAGCGGTGAACAAGTCGAAGAATTAGCCGAAGAGAATAAAAGTTTAATTTGGTGTTTGGTAAAACAAGTCCGTCCAGGTATGGATTTAAGTAAGGTGGTATTACCTACTTTTATATTAGAGCCACGTTCATTTTTGGATAAACTAGCCGATTCATATTATCATGCCGATATTCTATCAAGGTATGTTATAAAATCCCAACCGATTTTCCTCGGGAGTGTTTGATTTCTTCGCCCAGTATTAAATTTCAAGTTCAAATCTCATAACATAACACTTCACCTGTTTTACAGAGCTGTCCTTGAAGATGATCCCTTCACCCGCATGAAATTGGTTGTACAATGGTATCTTTCGGGGTTCTATAAAAAACCCAAAGGTCTCAAAAAACCCTACAATCCCATTTTGGGTGAAACCTATCGCTGCTATTGGGAACACGAGAATGGCAGTCGCACTTACTATATTGCTGAGCAGGTCTCACATCATCCACCAATATCGGCATTTTATGTTACAAATCGCCAAGAAGGTTTCTGCATTAGTTGTTCCATCTTGGCCAAATCGAAATTTTACGGCAATAGCACTTCAGCGGTGCTAGAGGGTGTGGCTACGCTAACTCTATTGCCACGTGGCGAAAGTTATACACTAACCACACCTTATGCCCATTGCAAAGGTATTCTCATGGGTACTTTATCTATGGAACTGGGTGGCAAGATAAATATCGAATGTGAGAATACGGGCTACAAGACGGAACTGGAATTCAAGCTGAAACCTTTTTTGGGCGGTGCTGATAGTACGAACGTGGTTGCGGGTAAAATTCGCCTGGGCAAAGAAACATTGGCCACAATTTCGGGTCATTGGGATGCTGAGATGCGTATAAAAGATACGAAATCGGGTGAAGATTCAATACTATTTGCAGCGAACAAGGATACAATGAAGAAACGTTTGAAACGTTATGTGGTGCCCATTGAATCACAATTTCCCAATGAATCGGAACGTTTGTGGAGTTTGGTTTCAGCCGCCATTAGACGTGACGATCAAGTTGGTGCTACCGAAGAGAAGACCGTACTTGAAGAGTCACAGCGTAATGCGGCCAAGGAACGTAAGGCGACACTTACCGAATGGGAACCAAAACATTTCCAACAGGATATAATGACAGGAAAGGTGAGTCCTTTACACTTAATTTATTATATTAGATCTGTAATATTTTTATATTAATTTTTTATATTTCAGTGGATTTACAAATATGCCGATCTTCGACCCTGGGATCCACGTAACGATGTCAAACAATACGAATGGGATTATAAGGTATTAACCAAGACCCGTCATCAAGCACCCATGGTACGAACATCGAGCATTGTTAGTGTCGATCCAATGCATGTGATACGCAATTGTGCTTCGGAACAAAGACAATCATCGTTGGCCATCATGAAGGCCAAACGTAAAAATAAGAAATTATCTAAACTATCATCAAATGATCCAAATAATTCAGATTCAAGTCAATCACAAGATGATCTAAATGATCAAGGTGTATCATCACACACTGTCAGAAAGTAAGTAGAAAAAAAAATAGTGTGTAGGGTAACTCCAAAGTATTTTAAAGGTTCTATATACATGTTCTTTTTTAACATAACCTCCATCCCATTAGAGGTGATCAGATGTACACAGTTTAACATGGCTCCATGCGTTGACATAGTCCCCATATAATGTCACGCTTAATTATACCCTTCACCACACTGTGGTACAGGGTATTATGTCTTTGTGCATATGTTTGTAACAGGCAAAAGGAAACGAGATAGACACATGGTTCCTTTTGAGAATATGCATAGAATCACTTTCTGAGTCGATTTATGCATGTCCGTTCGTCCGTCTGTCCATGTTAAATTGTAAACAAAGTACAGGTCGCATTTGTGATCCGAATTGGATGAAATTTGGCGCAGCTCATTTGTTTGGTCCAAAGACGAACCCTATTGAAATTGGGAAAAATAACCTGCTGTGTGGAAAGTTTCGCTAAAATAGGTTCAGATTTAGATTTAGCTCCCATATATATGACCGATTGACACACAATTTTGTACAACGTACTGAAATTACTATAACATAACGTATGCCAAGTTTTGTTGAAATCGAACCGATTTCGAAGGTCACATATTTTAGTTCATCCAATTTCATGTAAATGGCCCTTTTGTTAGGATGCATCTTTTTAATATACCCATATAGTATCATATAGTCTGTCCCGTCCGACTTTACTACTTTCTTTACTGGTTTTTCGTATGTTAAAATTCCTTTTCCAACCTAAATGTCTCTAAATTGGTATTAATTTTTCTCAATATCCAGATAATGTCCATCCCAAATTAAGACATGTATAATTTGTTAATCTCTCTGTGTTCCTTTTGGAAGTCTTTCCAATGCTTGCGAAGAATATTCTGCTTCCAGCATCGCATCAAACATTCAATCAAGATAGATGGAATTCCTTTGTTAATAAGTTCTTGATAAAAAGTCTACCTAGGATCCTTTTGACAATTCACAAATCAAGATATTTCAATATAGTACTTTGCATGATTTGATTCTATAATCTTGAAATTTAAATACCACATTTCTAATAATTTCCGATTTTTGTTGTATTTACAGATTGATGTTAGCTGTTGATCAGTTGAACAGTGCTCTAGACGATCACAAACGACAACTGGTAATGATCAATGCCAAATTGGAACGTTTACAATATGCACCACCCCATCACAGCGAACATTCGTCATCGGTATGGGGTGTAATAACACGATCGATACCACAGCCATTGGTCATACGAGCTTTAGCTTATGCATTTGCAGCTTTATTAGTAAGCCTTTGCCTAAAGTGGCTTTTATACTAGTTAACATTATTCAACTAAATCTAACTAAGATAATAAATTAAAAACCTACACACACATGCATACAAACACATTTATTACAAAAAAATAAAATATTTAAAATACAAAAATAAAATTTTGAAAAACAACAAAAAATAAATAAAACAAATATATTTGAAAATAGCATAATTATGAAGTTCACAACAAAAATAAAACAATGAAAATAATTATATTTTTTCATTAATTCCTAAGCTTGAAAACAATTTACACAATATCGTCGTCCCAAATATATAAATATTTTGTTTTACGATTTTTTATCTTTAAATATTAAATTGGTGGTTTCAAGCAAAAAATTAAAAAAAAATATTTAACATTTTTGACAAATTAAAAAATGAATATGTATTTATGTTATATTCAAAAATATATATTATTTACATTTACTTATAGCTCTTTAAATAATGTATTATATATTTAGTTTTGTATGCTATATTTAGTTTGGAAAATATATGTGTATGTATAATTATTGTTTTGTGTAATAATTTCTATTTTATAGAAACTTTTATTTATTAAGTTCCAATTTACAAAATTTGTTATCCTAATATCTCAAATTTTATATAAAAAATGTCTCATGTTTTAAGCTTCCTGTTATAGAGCTCTCTCCCTCTACTATTTTGTTGTTTTAACAACCAAAAAATATATATATTTATATATAAATAAACATCAAAAAATATAAAGTTTATAAGCACTTGGCACCTTAATGAAATGATTAACAATCAACTTTTTTAAATAAAAAAAAAAAAAAACAAATAAAAATTATAATCACTTTGAATTTAAATAACTTTTGAATTGTACATTGTATAATTAATACAATGAAACAAAAAAGAAAAAAACATATAACAAAAAACTTATGTATAAAACAAAATCACTGTTATAATAATTTTATTCGGTTAACTATTCCAAATTTCTTTAATAAATTCCAATTCCAATGAATATTTTGTTTAATTGTTGAATTTAAGAATGGTATTTGACAATGGGGTAAGTTTCTGCTTTTAATAATATATTCATCCCAACAATACACACCCAGCACTTGCGGTACGGATAACATCGACGTCGAAAACGATGCCGGACTTGTAAAACTTGTAATTCCTATCAAGACCTTGTTTTTGGTCTGGATGTCCTCTTTAATATACGCTGCATGTATATTAAAATGGAGATCCGAAGTCCCTCTGTCATCGACTCTTAGTGTCAAGGAGGAAAAATTTAACGGCATTAAGAAAGACATGTCCGATAGATATGTACAGTATTTCAAGAATGAGTTTGCACATACAGTGGTGGCCACAGAATTAAAACATTTACTGTGGTAAACATTTTTTGGTCAGCCCTCGATTCGTTTGAAGTATTTTTGAAATTTTTTTAATTCAGAACACTTCGATATACTGCACTCAAGAGATTTAGTGTGAAAATGGAAAATTATTTCATGCAATTTTTCCATAAATAACGGTTTTTATGAAAATACATCGACTTTGAAGTGGCCATATAATTAAAACATTGTGTGATTTTTTACTAGACTGCATTTTTTGAAAATATTTTTTAAAAAAGCTCTTTAATTTAGTTAAATTATGTAAACTAAGCACCGATAAAATCATTTACTGATAAAAATTTTTGAAAAAATCTGTAAAATCTATCAAAAATGCCAAAAATGTGTTCAGTACACCTTACATTCAGAAAATAACCCTTATTATAGAAAATAAAGGTCCGAATGCACCAGAAATTTATAGAATTAGTAGAAAACAATAAATAATTCTCAAAATAAATAAATATTTGAAATAAAAACTCAAAAAATTGGAATTAACCTAAAAGAACGATTAAATTTCGATAGCCTTTATTGAAGAAGGCCGGAATATTTTTGCAGTATGTGAGGAAATATCGATTGATATTGGCATTTATTATATGAAATCGATTGTTCGAGTAGTACACAATATATTTGATCAAAAAATATACCAGTCACAACAGAAAGAACAGAGATCAACACCTAGGTTGACGAGTAAAAGTTTCTGCCACACAGCAGCATTTTTGATGCTCAACTCAAGACTTTAAATATTTGTCAAATTGTAAAATTTGTCTTTCATTTAGGCTAAAATAGATTAAATGGGCATTATTCTATTCAAAAAATATTATTTTGGAAAAATATTGTCATGTTCAATAGATTTTAAGGGTCAAGAATTAACCATCAAACATGATGCTGTGTACCAGAAACGTTTTCTCGTCAACATAGGTGTTGATCTCTGTTCGTTCTGTTGTGACTGATAATTTTTTTGATGAAATATATTCTGTACTACTCGAACAACCGATTTGATATAATAAATGCCAATATCAATCGATATTTCCTCACATACTGCAAAAATATTCCGGCCTTCTTCAATAAAGGCTATCGAAGTTGAATCGTTCCTTTAAGTTAATTCCCATTTTTTTGAGTTATTATTTCAAATATTTATTTATTTTTAGAATTATTTATTGTTTTCTACTAATTCTAGCAATTTCTGGTGCATTCGGACCTTTATTTTCTATAATAAGGGTTATTTTCTGAATGTAAGGTGTACTGAACACATTTTTGGCATTTTTGATAGATTTTACAGATTTTTTCGAAAAATTTTATCAGTAAATGATTTTAACGGTGCTTAGTTTACATAATTTAACTAAATTATAGAGCTTTTTTAAAAAAATATTTTCAAAAAATGCAGTCAAGTAAAAAATCACACAATGTTTTAATTATATGGCCACTTCAAAGTCGATGTATTTTCATAAAAACCGTTATTTATGGAAAAATTGCATGAAATAATTTTCCATTTTCACAATAAATCTCTTGAGTGCAGTATATCGAAGTGTTCTGAATTAAAAAATTTTCAAAAATACTTCAAACGAATCGAGGGCTGACCAAAAAATGTTTACCACAGTAAATGTTTTAATTCTGTGGCCACCACTGTAGATAATTACACTGAGCAACAAATTTCAATTTTTTTATAATATCGGGAAATTCCAAAGAAATTATGATGTATTGGTGTTTTGAAAGTTTAAAAAGGGGGGACAATATTCCCGCTATCCAAGACATTAAAAAAATTCGGATAAGGATTGCTCGAAATCTTTTCATTTTAGGTATATGCATGGTATAATTATTATAAGGTAGGGCACAGCTACCAACTGATTACAATTTTTTCTCAAGGTGGCTTGTTCCGTCAAATAAAAATACATATTTTGTGTATGTATGTGTATTGTTTTGAATACTATGTCAAATAAATTCAAAATAAATTGAAATATATTCAAATTTAATAGAAACGAAAATTATGTTTTTAACACGTTCGTCTGGAAGTAATTACTTTGTTATGGATGAAACAAACATTTTATGGTATTCCCTACTGGATTGTGGGAAGAAATCATAACCTTTCATTCATTTTTCGCGTTTTTAGTTTTGTGTTGAAAAAATGTCAAATAAACACAAACACTTGTTGCGTATATTTATTTTATTTTTGGCAGAAGAGGCCACACGTGCATAGTTGCTTTTTTTTATTAACCTCGAGCTGCCCTACCTATGGTCTGTTCCCGTGCTGCAAGAATCTACTCGATTTTAATATTTTCTTCGATATCATAAAGGAAAAAAGTGTTATCGAAATAAAAAATAGTAGATTCTTGCAGTACGGGAACATACCACTTGTTTTATTTTTACTGATATGAATGAGACATATTTTTGTCTAATAGCACTCAGTCGACTCTGTGAAGGGGTCTTTTCGGTTCGCTTTTCCAGAAATGATTGAAAACTTGTTTAAAACGGAATTATAGCAGGTCAGAACATTCTACAAAAATGTTCGCAATGAAGTTGTACTATAAGTCTAAGAATAGATAAAAAAAACTCGAAAATCAGCCAAAACGTCAATAATCTTAAAAATATGGGAACTCATTTTAGGGCTCAAAACTATCTTATTTCGAGTTTGTATCAATTTTTCCCACTAGATGTCTCTTTAGAAAGATGGTATAAAAACAAAAAAATTCTCCATCAAATTTTAGTATAAGTCCCTGACAAAAAACTCGGTTTATATAATATATTTACAAAATATATAGACGTAAATTTGTGCAAAAAATATATTAGCAGTTTTTCAAAGATATTTCCCAGTACAAGTATTAAATTAACTATTGGTCTGTTGCCATACTGCAAGATTATACTGCTTTTTACTACGATAACGAATTTTCTTTTATGATATCGAAGAAAATAGTAAAATCTAGTAGAATCTTGAAGTACGGGAAAAGGCCATATATTGACAGCAAATTCAAATTCTTTGTTGACTTTGTGCCAAAAATCGTCAATAATACTGCATTTCAAAAAATTATTTAATGTAAACATAGCAAAACCGTATTTTATAGAAAAATCCCCATTTATCTCTTGCAATATTATCGATAATATTCAACGTTAATCGATTAGAAAAAGCTATCGATTGTGTGTCATCTCTATTGTTTACTACTCTACAACAACTTGTTTACATTTTTTTCATTCATACAATAGAAAATATTTTTCACAGAAAAGATATACAAATATCAACAAAATGCTTCATCAGGGAAGCGCTCCAAATACCAGTGGATTAGGTGAACATTCTGGTGGTGGTAGACCCCGGCACATACACTGGCGTGGTTTTATAAGAATATCTAATGGATCAAAAAGTATTGCCCAGTGTGCAAAATGTGGGAATCTCATAAAGAATACTGCCTCCGCGAGAATGTTGGCACATCGGTATGCAATTAAAAATGAAAATATGTCCAATGACTCCCCTTAATTTGTCATCATTTACAGACAAAAATGCCCATTAGATATGGATGACACTATGGCCTCCTCAATCGATACCCAATTGGAACAATCAGCCGACAATCAAAATTCCACGCCGGTACCCATTTCACCCAAAATCGACATGAAATCAATCGTAAAAAATGAAAGTGAACCTTCCAGAGGCGTTGGAGGTGGTAGGCCAAATCACAAACTTTGGTTTGGTTTTACAAAAATTTCTGAAAATGGTAGAACCGCTGCCCAGTGTATAAAAT